AACTCGATCAGGTAATGCTTCGATAAGCCAATAGATTTTTATTATCCACCTATTAAAATTTATCTCTATAAGCTGATTTTATTAGATTTATTAAACCAAATATTTTTTCTGAAAACATTGGCTTTGATTTAACAAATTCTGATTGTATCAATTTTTAATTTTCATCTTGCTCTGGTATTTTAAGCCATTCAAAATGACCAACGATTGGCAGTCTTGTCTTAATAGTCTTTATCTTCGATCGTAAAACGTCAATGGTGGACAAAGCAAATATTCAATTGGAAACCGTGTTTCACCTTAGTTATACAATGAATGTTTTTTACACAGTGACAATTTAGGTATTCATCCATCAGCGGTATTTCAAGTTGCTAAATATTGATGGACTTGCCCTGGGAGCCTTTATCTTTGATCGTAAAACGTTCATGATTGACAACTAAAAATAAAAAATCTAAAAGAAATATACAAACTATTTTATCTCTGATCTCTGATTTGTGTACAGCTGCAATTGGTTCCAAAAATCATGAAAAGGCGTAAATACAATTAGTTTCTCTGGCATCTTTTATCATTAACAACAGAATTGAATTTGCATGGTGGCGTTAAGGTGTGGAAATTAGCCAGCGCAACAAAAAAAGAACTTTTACAAATATGAAAACTCCCTGCGCATACTCAGTTTAAAATTGTACATCATATGTGAAGCGTTGTTCTGAAAGTGGAGTTTTTTAGCTTGAAAACACGGACAATTATGTGAAGAAATAGAAATTTCTGTTGATTTGAATAGACACCCACTTTTGAAGAGTATTGTAAATTCATTACAAAAGAAGTTTCTCATTACAGAATTGAAATGTGGAGTGGTCTGTAATGAAAAAGAAACCGATCAGTTGGCATTTCTATACCAAAAATTAGTGTCCGTTGGTTTTGAATAAAATAGGAATAATAACATCATACTATACTTTATTCTTTAAAGAATGATTAATTAATTGATAAGCTACATATACTTAATAAGGAAGGAAAGAAAACGCTTCACATATGATGTACAATTTTAAACTGAGTATGCGCAG